AATAGTAATTATAAAGCTATAATCTTAAAAAAAAAGAATAAAGTATTATTATAAAGCTTAAATATATATATCTTATAATTAAAGAAGAAACTTAATTATAAGTAATTTAGATCTTTTAAAGTATTAAAGAAAATAGATATATAGATTTATAAATTAGATCTCTCTATTAAATATAAAAAAAATTATTTTATATTTTATATATTATTATTAAAATCGTAATACTTATATAATAATAATTTAAAATTATAAGTAGTTTTAATTAATAAAGAAGAAGAGTAAGAGATTAATAAGATATTAGATAAAAGAGTTTATAAAAGCGAGATTAAGTATCTTATTAATTAAAAAAAAAATCTTATAAAGCTTTATAAAAATTAATAAAATATCTTAAAAATATTAAAGATATAATTAAGAACTTTAAATAAGTAAAAAAATTATATAAATTAATATCTAAAATAAAATTAAAGATATAATTATTAAAAGAAATTAAAAAGTAAAATAAATTAAAAAAGTAATAATAATAGAGAAATCTTATAGAATAAATAAGTTATAATTAAAAGGCTAATGAAAATAATTAAAATATTTATAAATATATTCTAAAGCGTTAAAGCGTCGTATATTATAAGAAAAATAGTTATTAAAATTATATATATAATTATTACTATTTAATATTAGCTTATTTATTCTCTTATATTAAAAAATAACTTCTTATTTAGAAAATTTATTAAATAATAAAAAGATTTAATATAAAGAATAGCGAAAGAAGTAGCTAAAGAAGAAGCGAAGATAATAATATTATATCGAAATTTCTCGATATAATAAGTTATTATATATATTAACTATATACTCTAATATATATTAATTAAAATTTATATTATTTTATATTTAAAGAGTAATATAAATATTCTCGCTAATATAAATTTTATAAAAGTTATATATAAGAGTATATATATAATAATAATAAAAGAGAATTAATATATATTAATATAATCTCTTAATATTTAATATCTCTTTTATTTATAAATAAGAATAGAGATAATAATAAAGAAAGCTATTAAGTTTTTTTAATTAAGTATATTTTTAAAATAGATATAAATATTTATTAATTATAGCGAAGAGCGTAGAAATAATAATAATTACGAGTACTTAATAATTTATAAAATTATAAAAGCGAAGATTTAATATTATTTATTAATATATTAATATACTTTTTATACTATTTAAAAAATATTATAAAGTATTCTTTAAGATATTTATTATATATAAAGTTAATTTAAATAACTTTAATCTTACTTAATTATTATTTTAATTAATATATATATTATACTATAGCGATAATACGTAACTCGCTATTATAATATTACGATAGAAATAAATAAAGATAAAATAATAGATATAAAAAAGAATTAGATATTTATTTATAATAATATTAATATTAATATTATTACTAAGAAGAATAAAAGTTAAATTAAAAATAAGACTTTTATACTTATTAATATAACTTTTATAATTATAATAATAGAATTATTATAATTATTAAAGTAATAATAATAATAATAGTATATAATAATAGTAATAATAATATATCGTAATAAGATAATAATATATCTATATTCTATTAATTAAGATAATAATATATATAGCGATACTATCGCGATTTAGTATATAAATATATTAATATATTTAAAGAGACTTTAGAGTAAGAAGTTTAAATATACTATTATAGTATATATTAATTTAGATTATATTTAAATTAATAATAAATAACGTATAAGAAATTAATAAGTTTATAAGTATTTAATTATAAGACGTAATAATAATAAGATTTTAAGATTAAATCTTCTAAGAAAGAATATAATTATAAGAATAAAAGTACTTAAAGTGAGTTAATAAACTCGCTTATATTACTTATTAGACTATAAGTTATATAGCTAAAGCGAGTATTTAATATACTTAATAAAGTCTTAAATACTTACGAGTCTTTTTTTCTCTTCTTTTTCTTTAGTTATTAGTTTATTTAATAACTAATCTATTTATTCTATTAATTATATATCTAGATCTTATAATTATATAGCTACTACGTAGTTTTATTAAAAGAGATCTTACTATCTTATATATATAATCTTATTATTTATAAATATTATTTAAAATAATAGATTTATAAACTAGTAAATCTATTATAAGTATTAGTCGAAAAGATATAATATAATATAAAATATTAATCTATTATATTATACTCTAATATAATATAAGTTATTAAGATTTATATAATCTCATATCTAGTATAATATGAAATCTTAGCGATATATTCTATAATATAATATATCTATAATATCATATTATGAAATAATATATATATGAGATATCCCGACTGGAATTTCTATATTTAGATACATTTATTCGATAAATCCGACATAATAGCTACTACTACCATGGCTGCCACTACCATGGCTACCTACCATGGCTGCCCCTACCATGGCTACCACTACCAATGCCTGCCACTACCATGCCTGCCACTACCATGCCTGCCACTACCATGCCTACCATCGAAATGTGGCCCCCGCGCATCCCAGCCACCATGTTTTCGAGCTACCTAATTTTGTACTATATTTAGAACCTGGCCCCGGAGAGGTTCTGGAGAATTGATCCGTCCGTTCTACACATCACATACCTGACATTCTAACAGCTACCACTACCATGGCTACCACTATCATGGCTACCACTATTTATTATTGAAATAGCCTACTATCATATGGTAGCCATGGTAGTGGTAGTTATGGTAGTGGCAGCTATGGTAGTGGCAGCTATGGTAGTGGCAGCCATAATAGAGGCAGTCATGGTAGGGGTGGCCATGGTAGGGGCAGTCATGGTAGTGGCAGCCATGGTAGTGGCAGTCATGGTAGTGGCAGCCATGATAGTAGCAGTCATGGTAGATGATAGTGGTAGCCATGGTTAGCCAGAATGATGATCAGAATAGCTACTTATACTTCTAAATATAGAAATCTCAGTGGGGATATCCCATACATATACCATTCCATGGTATGATACTACAGATATACCATACCGTGGGATATACCGCCAAGATCCCGAACCCATACCAGAAAAATGGTATGGTATCCGACCCTACTCATATCATACCCGGGTACGGTATAATATCACTTGATATGAAATATCCCATGGAATATACTATATCTTTTCGGCTAGTAATTATAAGATTATAATATTAATAATAATTTAATAATTTATTTTATTAATATATTAATATATATAAAAGAATAAAATAGAATTAAGCTTAAAAATCTTAAATTTATATATATAGCTAATTATAAATTTAGAATTATTACGCTTTTTAATTAGATAAACTAAGTTATCGCGAATAAATAAATTAATATTCGCAATTATTAAAAAAATAGAAATACGTTATTAATATATAGAATAACTTTTTTTATTTTCTATTAGAATTTTAAGATTTTTTTTTTAAATTATAGAATTAATTAATTAAATATAAGCTTTTAGATAAAAAAAAAGAATTCTTAAATTTAATCTTATAATTATTAAAGCTTAGAAATTCAAATATCGCTTATTAAAGTTCGCTCGATAGTCGAATAGCCTTAATTAAAAAATAGATATATATTATTTAATTTTAGAATAACTTTTTTTTATTTTCTATTAAAATTTTAAGATTTTTTTTTTAATTATAAAACGAAATATAGGCTTTTAGAGAGAGAAAGAATTCTTAAATTTAGTCTTATAATTATTAAAGCGTAAGAAATTTAAATATCGCTTATTAAAGTTCGCTTATTAAAGATTACTTATCTATTTACTCGATAGTCTTAATTTAAAAAAAAAATTATAAATTTAATTTATAGACCTTTACTCGTAATATATAATAAAAGAAAGATAAATAATTTTAGCGAGTATTATTTATATAATTACTATAATAATAATTAATTAATTCTTTATTTAAATTACTCTCTTTTAAAATTATATTATTATTATAATTATTATTTATATCTATATATAACTTTATTTTTTTATTATAAAATATATTATTTAGATATAAGAGTTTATCTAATACTAAGAATTCTTTTTAAATTATTTATATATTTAAAAATATTTTAATTATTCTAATATTAAATATATTTAATAATATATCTATATATCTATTTATATATATATTATTTATATATAATCTTATTATTTACGAGTATTAATTTTAATATTACTTATATTTACTAGAATTTATAATCTCTAAAATTTAATTTTTATAATCTATTTTAAAAAACTTAAAAAGAAATCTAAGAGAACGTAATTAAATAAGATTTTTATAGTTTTAATCGAAATTTTCAACTCGTTAAATTTGAATTACTTAATATTCACGTAAAATTCAAATCGAAATTCTCGCTTAGCGATCAATAGTAGGGATGCTCCAACCCGACCTTGTTTGGTCTGCCGGTAAGACTTACAATTCGGAGGGGTACTAACCTAATGGCCTTCAGTAACCACATTATCGCGCAGCAAGGGGTCGTTATCTGCAAGATAATTGCCACTTTCGAAATCAGTGGTTGATTGGCCGAGCGAATAGATGTTAGTGCCCACCGGACATTAACACGGGCCGTCTCTCAGCCTGTCAAATGCTAGACTACAACAGTACCTTCCTAATCTTCCCGCACCCGCCTTCACAACACAACAACATGACGTGATGGCTTTTGCGAGATTCCACTCTCGGGACAGACGTCGGCGAGGCCGGATTGGCCTTGGCCTCAACCTGAGTTATTGTCGCGAGACCTCACGCACAAGCCAACAGAATCTTCGCAATGCCTATGCAAGGCTTGGAACAAAACTTGATCAACCACCTTGATGGTTATGGATAAGTCATAATAAGCCCGCTAGCCACTGCCTTCTCTCAAGGGAAGCACATTATCTCCTCCTCTCGGATTTCTTCACCTCATGAATATCCAACTTTGAACACAGCTACGACCAACTGCGATCAACTACGAACCATGTCTCGTGAAAATGAAAAAGACATTGCCGTCATTGGCATGTCATGTCGTGTAGCTGGTGCCAATTCTCCATCTGACTTGTGGGATCTTCTGGCCTCCTCAAGAGATGTCCAAAGCAAGATCACTCGCTTCAACAGTGAAGGCTTCTATCATCCGGACGGCGGTCCACGCAAAGGCCTCACCAACGTCAACAAAGCCTACATGCTTGACGATAACATCATCGACAAATTTGACAACGCTTTCTTCTACATTACCCCATTGGAAGCCGTCGCGATGGACCCTCAACAACGCATGCTTCTGGAAATTGCCTACGAAGCTATCGAGAATGCTGGAATACCTCTGGATGATTTTGCTGGAACGGACACAGCAGTCTTCGCAGGTGTGCATACGAGCCACGGACAACACAAGAAGACGCTAACAGCCTGCATCAGGAATGGAAGGCTGCGAATACCATACGATCGCCGCCCGCGATCTCGATGCCACTCCTCGATACCTTGCTACTGGCACCCCAATCTGCATGGCAGCCAATCGAATCAGCTACTTCTTCGATCTATCTGGTCCTAGTATGTCCGTTGACACGGCATGTTCATCTGCTATGGCAGCATTACACCAAGCCGTGCGTACCTTGCAGCATGGCGATTCGAAAATGGCCGTCGTTTGCGGCGCCAAGCTCATCCTCAGCCCAGATATGTTCATGCCTTCCTCAGAGCTAGGCTTTCTTAGCCCAACTGGCAGATGTCATACTTTTGACGCTGCAGCCGATGGCTATGGTCGAGGAGAGGGAGTCATAGCGCTTCTCTTGAAACCCTTGAAAAAGGCGCTGGCAGACCGAGACCCCATCCGCGCTGTCATCAAGGGGACACGATTGAATCAAGATGGCAAGACACAAGGAATTACATTGCCATCAGCTGACGCTCAGAAATGTAACATGCAAGCCCTCTATAAGGAATTAAGCATCTCTCCAGCCGATATTCAATATTTAGAGGCTCATGTAAGTCAATCTCGATCTATGGCCTACTGTTACATCTGACGTGTTGTAGGGCACTGGAACAGTAGCGGGCGACCCCCTGGAATTCTCGGCCATCAACTCAGTATTTGGACAATCTCGCGGAGCCGTTGATCCTCTGGTGGTGGGCTCGGTCAAGAGCAATATAGGGCACCTCGAAGCATGCTCGGCGCTTGGATCCGTTATGAAAGTCGCTCAGTGTCTTGAAAGAGCCCAAATACCGCCTCAGATGAACTTCAGAGTCCCCAATCCGAATATCGATTTTCAGAACGTCACAATACCAAACCAAATGACCTCTTGGCCAACATCGAACGATGGCAGTCGGAGAGCAGCTGTCAACACATTCGGAGCAGGGGGCACAAATGGCCATGCTGTTCTAGAGGCATACACAGGATGGCTATCTCAGTCACCCACCTCCGAGAAGAAACCATACTTGTTCAAAGTCTCCGCCGCGGATGATATGTCTCTCAAGCAGATTTCATTGAGATTTGCAGAGTACGTGAAGGTTTCTAAGCCAGTACTTCGTGACCTTGCACACACCATGCTTGATCGCAGGTCGACGCTTAGGAAATCGGTTTTCTTCACAGCAAGCAGTCATAAAGAAGTGGTTGCGGCTTTGTGTGCAGATGGCCACAGTGTTCATGCGAAGCCGAAAGAAGCTAACAAAGGGCTCGTTTTCCTGTTTACGGGTCAAGGTGCTCAATGGGCACAGATGGGGATGTCCTTAATGGACGATTGCCCCCTCTTCGGATCCATGCTACGTGAATGTGACCGCTTACTATCAGAGCTACCTGATCCTCCGGCTTGGACAATCATAGAAGAACTCTCCAAGGCCAAGGAAACCTCGAATGTCGACAAGGCGGAATTTTCTCAGCCGCTCTGCACCGCGCTCCAGCTGGGCCTGGTGGCAGTGCTAGAATCTTGGGGTGTGGCTCCAGATGCGGTGGTGGGGCATTCTTCTGGGGAGATCTGTGCAGCGTATGCTGCCGGTATACTTTCGTTGCGAGATGCGATGGCAATCTCCTACTATCGCGGTCTCGTACTGGGCTGCCACCCAGCCCAGAAGCCTGAAGGCTCCATGTGCGCTGTTGGGCTGAACGAAGACAGCGCAAAGGCTCTGATCGAAGATTTGGGCGGCAATGTTCAGATTGCAGCAATAAACTCGCCAAATAGTTGTACGCTTTCAGGTGACGCTGCTGCCATCAAGGGAATAGTGAAGCAGCTTATCGAGGAAAAGCGATTTTGTCGGGAGCTGAAGGTTGATCAAGGTATGAGCTGGTTTCTCTGCACTTCTGTCTATGCTGACGTTTTCACTAGCCTACCACTCGCATCATATGTTCCCATTGGCCCCGAAATATGAAAATAAGCTCGTGCGGGCTAAGATAACACCTCTACGTGACAACGCAAAATGTGCCATGTACTCCTCTGTCTATGGTCGCAGAATGGATGCCTCAGAATACACACCATCATACTGGAAGCAGAACATGATATCAACAGTCACATTCCAGGCAGCATTGGAAGAGTGCATGAACGGTCACCCAGACGCAGCTGCGATTATTGAGATTGGGCCTCACTCGGCATTGAAGGGACCAGCGCAAGAGATCCTCCATGCCTTGGGCAAACCCCATGTAGGCTATTTGCCCACTTGCTTACGCGCACAGAATGCTCTTGAATCTCTCCTTTCTAGCGCTGGAGTAATGATTGGAATTGGTCTTTCCCTCCAGACCTCCAACATCAATGCTCGAGCAACAGTCGATGGTCTCCGATGTTGCCATGAGCCAGGCAACGTCCTGACTGATCTTCCAAGCTACCAGTGGAACCATTCACAAAGTTTCTGGGCAGAATCGAGGGTCAGTCGCAATGTACGGTTTCGAACGTTCCCACGACATCAATTGCTCGGTTCTCGATACGTAGATGACATTCCGAACCGACCAAGTTGGCGGAATCGGCTTATGCTGAAGGAGATTATATGGCTTCAAGAGCTCATGGTGTGTACGTTGGTCCCGATTTGATGCTTGTTTGCTCATTGCTCTTATAGGCTGAAGGACTTACCGAGATACCCGCCGCCGCGTACCTTCTTATGGCTTTGGAGGCTGCTCGTCAGCTCTCCGGCAATAAAAGCTCTGATGCTTACTCACTTTGCGTGTCCAACGTCCATTTCGAGCAACCTTTACTACTCTCTACCTTTTCTGATGCTCATTCTGGTCTGGAAATCCAACTGATTGCTAGGAAAACGGACGGCACCGACAAAATTGCATTTGAGATCTTCTCTCAGCCTTCAGCAGACGAAGGCTCATGGACCAGGCATTGTTATGGCAATTTCGAGACGCAAGCGATTGCAGAGTCGCCTGTCCTCAATCTCCCAAAGCTCCTTCATGACCAATCATTGTTAGACAAGGCGCGAACACTGAAGCTTAGTGTGGGAGTGGGTGTAAGCAGCCTCAAGCTGAGCCTGGAAGGCTCATCTGGAGAGTTCGAACGCGATACAGACGATATGGACACCTACGCTGTCCATCCCTCAATTTTGAATTCTATCCTGGAATTACCTCCAGTGTCGTTGATGGGCCAGAATCTTCCAGCTGAGCACCGCCTATCTTCGGTCGCTTCAATCACGGTGTCGATCCTTCGGCTTGGGTCGGACTACGGGCGCTTTACTACTCGTATCAAGCCCTCAGAGTTCTACAACGTAGAAAGCGATATTCAGATCAGCCAATGCGACAGAATAATCTCGTTAAAAGGCCTAAATCACCAAGCTACGAAGTTGATTCACCAGAAGCCAGCGCTGAACTCGTTATTCTTCAAGCCAGTCCTGCTTCCCGATGTTACAAGGCTATCGGTAGCGGCGCCCATGAGTATCTCACGATGTGCCGAACTTTTGACCTACAAGTGGCCCATGTGCGACATCAAGATTAATGGCGTCCCTGAGCGCTGTACCTTATCTATCCTGAAAGCCTTTGGTGCGGCTGGTGGCCAAGCAAGATCTTACTTTCGATCCATAGAATGCTCCTCAATTCCACCAGGTGTTGTCTCAGATCGCATACAGCTGGTCGATGGCTCTGACATGACCAGCAAATATCACATGGTCATCACACATAACAACCCTCCAGCAGGGCTGCTGAGTGAACATTTGCTTTCTGGAGGCTTTTTGTGCATTCCAAAAGCCCATCTCGAGGTTTTAGAATGCAAAACCAATACATCATTTGAGTTTGTCTGCGATATTAGTGGCTTGGGCTCAGACTCATGGGCGCTTCTCCGTAAAATCACTGATCCGAATGCGGTGTCCGCCGGTCGAAGAGCCGTGTTGTTCACCAATCAGGGTGGACTGCCCTTTCGCAATGCTCTCGGGAAATTGGAGTCTATTCCGCTCGAACCTGCGCCAGTGAGGCATTTTTGCAAGCGAAACAGCTTTGCGAGATTCGATGCCATAGTTATTGACTTTCTGGGAAAGTCAGCCATTACCACATGGACCGGGAGCGTACTCATGCCGTGGGTGCAAACTCTACTGAAGTCCGCTGATAGCATCCTTTGGGTCACACGAAACAGCCATGAAAGCCCGTATGCCAAGGTTGCGGGCAGTCTACTACGCACGCTGCAATCAGAGCAGCCTTCTCTCAGGATCTCATGGCTCCTAACAGATGAGACGGTAAACAAGAATCTAGACACTTTTGCATCGCAGGTCGAACAAGCGTTTGTGCGTATGATCGAAGGTGAAAATGAGCTTGTGACGAAGACTGGAGGATTGGGACTAAAGATCTTGCGGTACTTACCTGATGATGATCTCTCAGTCGATACTGGTCTGAGCCTCCCTCGACAAGTGCGAAGCCCATTAGGCGAGGCAGATTACTCGCTTGGTTTTGCAGTACCCGGGGAGCCCGTCATCCTGTCTTATAAAGATAGCGCTATGCAGTCATTGAGCGGCGATACCACCGAGGTGCTTGTTGAAGCATCGGCAGTAGGCATTGATGATCTACACATGTTCAGCGGTAGAACTAACATTCAAGTCCCTCGGTCTCGGCCTGGATTGTTCTTCGCTGGAAGGGTACTCAACAGCCAAGATTCAGAGTTTCCACCTGGATCTCGCGTAGTTGGCTGGCACCACGATCATACCCATCGTAAGAAATTAAGCGTTCAATCTTACGATGTCTGCCGGTATCCAAGCTCAACGCAGCCATCACATGCTGCCTCAAGGTATTCAGCCATAGCAGTTGCGTGCTGTATTGTCGATGGGGCTGCAAGAGCTCGTCAAGGCGAGACCTTCCAAATCAACGTCCAAGGGTCGCTCCTGAACGCCGTCGAGCAAATTTGCAGGCGTTTGGGAGCACTTGTGCCAAGTTCATGCACCCGGTCGAAAGCCGATTTTGTTGTCACTTTCAAATGCCCCGAAGGTATCCGCGTCAACGACAGGCCAATCGAGGTCGCCAGCTACCTGCAGTCAGATCATGGCAGAGCAATGGTACAGCGAAGTTGGCAAGAGTTGGCCAACCTACCGTTGCAAATTGATGAGTACGAAGTTGCAGACTACAAAGAGGCATTTAACAACGCAAAGCACCCGTATTCCACCGTCCTCCTCCATCGCAACACAGCAAAAATCGTAAAGCATGTACCTATGTACAGGGAGGCGGCGCACATGTTCATGGATCATGCTAACTATATAGTGATTGGCGGACTAGGGGGCCTTGGCCGCTTTATCTGCTCATGGATGATCGAAAACGGAGCCAAGCACATAACAACCATATCGAGGAGCGGGGCAGACACTCTGGAAGCAAGAAATGCCGTATCTGCTATGAATGCCTCTGGTGCATTCATTCAATGCGTCAAAGCAGATGCCTGTGATCGCAAAGCGATCTCCAAGATTTTCTCCAAATTGCGTAGCAAATGCCCCATCAAAGGCGTCATTAACCTGGCCATGGTTCTTGGAGACGCACCAATGGCTTCCATGACTGCCGAGGAGTGGGATCGCGGCCTGCGTGTTAAGATTGACTCTAGCTGGATTTTGCATGAAGAGACATTGCAGGATCCGTTGGAATTCTTCATCTTGTTCTCATCCATCGCGAGTGTGCTCGGTAATAGGAGTCAGGGCAACTACAACGTAGCTAATACATTCTTGAATGCATTGGCGGAATACCGGCAATCGTTGGATCTTCCTGGGATCTCTGTGGCTTTGGGGGCTGTGAGTAAGTCCCCCAACGTATTTTGTTCTGCAACTCATCGCGACCGGAGTTTCTGACAGTTACGCTGATACAACTGACCTTTTCGTTCTAGCCGACATGGGCGTCCTCTACACCCTTTCCAAACCAGACATGCTGCAGATCCTGAGCCGCAGTGGGCTAACTTACCTTACAAAGTATCATCTCGCTAAGATCATGGAGGCCGCAATACTCGAATCCCCACGCAGGGATCGCTCTCTGGTACTCACTGGGTTGAATATGTTTGAACGTGAAGCAGATGGAAGCCTTGCCGGTCGCACCGACCCTCTATTTTGGACCGATTGGCCTGAATTTGGGCACTTGCAGCAGTACAAGCTCTCAACAGTTGTAGACGGGACTAAAATTAGTCAAGCCCCGCTCAAGGACCAAGTCGCCGACATGCGCCACAAAGGGGATACGGAACAAATAAGGGGTGCCGTACGAAACGCCTTCTTGACCTTCTTATCGCAATTACTAGGCTTCGGTGTAGACGCCTTTGATCCTTCACAGGCTTTGATGATGTATGGGATTGATAGTCTGAGTGGGGTGTCGTGCCAGTACTGGTTCCACAAAGGTACGCAGGCATCATGAAACGGGTCGAAGCTCTATGGCTGACAGCAAGGTACAGAGCTTGGAGTCGATGTGTCCGCTGGCAAGGTCCTGGGAGGAGACTCAATTGAGAATATCGTCGGTGGTGTATTCCAGAAACTGACCTCAGATCTGTGAGGTGTCATCTCCTAGGGACTGTCCCAGAGCCACACCAGACGCGGCTTCTCTGGCTTTGAACAGCACTGGTGGCACGAGCGACTGGCGAAACCAATACCCTTCTCCGAGCCTTCCGCCTGATATCGGAGCCGTACCTAGGTATCATAGGTCCTCTAACGTAACTGCGCATCTTCATACGTGATCTGCCTTTCCCAGCGAAAGGGGTGTCAGTTTGGCACCAACGCTCGCCATGTTCTAGTCTCAATGATTGGTCGCCAGCCGAAGAAAGGTCAGCAAACAGGATTTAGCGTCCCCCAATATGATTTAACCCAAGATACGAGTAGGTGATCTTCATGAAACGAGTGACGCTGAACAGAAGAGCGATGCTCCGTCCTATATATCTAATCATCAAAGGAGCATCTACCACGTGTTTTTGGTCTGTGAGGAACTAATCAACACTGAAACAGCGGAGGATTCTATGCTCTAATTAACCCCGAGGATCTGGTTGGCACGGGCGAGGACCTGCCTCACACGCCCCCCGGAACAGGCCAGAATTGGGGGCACAGACATGGATGTGCCTTGCGTTTAGCCGGGCGGGCCGCTTAGCGCTTGTTTGTTCTCGAGTCTCCAACACGATCACCTCGTGAAGTCTAAATCTATTTTTCCCTCATCCCTTTGCCTGATCGACTTTTCATCGACTGCTTTTCCTCAACAGGCTCAAATTTACCATGAAACAGACTTTTCTTGCGTCAGCCATGACCGAAACCTTCCACTAACTACTAAATCACACGTCGGCGACTCGAGCTTAAACATATTTAAATCTATGAACAAATAGTAGGGGGTTTCAGACTAGGGAATCTACATCCTACATACACTGAATTAGCTATCTTAAGGCTCTAATTTAGCGATAAACTCTATACATTTTAAAGCCGTTAGATAGCCAATTCACTATCTACACTAAATTACTAATATAAGCCCTCAAGAGTATCTAGATATACTAAGAGACGTATATACACTAAATTACGCTAATAAATCCTACGATTTAGAAGGTCTTTTAAAGGTATTCAGATATCCTATCTATCTCATACGCTATCGTTACTACCCTATCTATCAGCTATAGACCAGACCACTCAGAATCTTTAGACTATCGCCTTTCAGGCCACCTAGACCACCTAGGTCACCCAGGCCACCGATCGCGTTAAATAATATTCGAGTAAGATAGATATACTCATCAATTAGCTGTCGATTCGCGATATTAATAAATTACTTTCTAATGCCGAATACTATAAAAAATACCACACTAAGACTACTCGTACTCTCCTTCGCGAGACTACTATATTAGCTATAAAGTCTAGAGTAACTACGACTACGATATTTAATAAGCTATATATTATATATATTATCTATATAAGATAAAGAGATAAAGCGGAATTAATAGGCTAGAAAGTAAATTTAAATAAATATAACGATCTAGTAAACGGCTCTAAGACTAAGACTATTAAGTTAATTCTTCTTAAGCACTATATATAGTACTATTACTTCGAAGCTCTCTTTAATATTAATCCTAACGTTATAATACCTTTTTTAAGCGAATCTAGATAATTTAATTATATGAATTCGAAGTCTATTAGTAAAGAGAAGAATATTATAATAGATAATAATAAAGATAATACGTTAATTAAGTAAGATAAGTTATCGACTAGAGATATTTAGAAGATTTCTCTAAATAATAATCTTTTAAATTTAGACTTTAAGAAAGCGTTAAAAGAATTTAATTAATTAGAGAATATATAGCAATTAGAGGATATTTAATTAACTTAGCTAAAGGTTATTTCTAATATATTTATAGCGAATAATCTTATTACGCGTATATTAGTAATCTCTCGCTTTAAAACCCTCGCTGCGAAGATAAAGGGAAAGCGGAAAAAGCCTATAAAAGCAATCGTGGAGATGCTTTTATTAAGCGATAAAGAACGATTAATAAAGAAGACTAAAACTCGATAGCGTAATATTATTAATACGATAATTAAGATAGAATAGATAAGAGATATAATAAGACGTTAGAATATAAAGATATAGGCGGAGGTTTAGAAGATACGATTTAAGACGAATTAGAAGTAGAGAGATTAATAATATATAATTCTTCTATAGTAAGATTAAGAGAGATTAAATCTATAGTAAGAAACTCTTTTACGTCTATAATTAAAGGTTTAGAAGAATTAAAAGTAAGGCGATTAGATACGTGGATATTACATTTTTTTCTTTAATTTAAGAGTTCTCCACTATCTTCACCCTCTCTATTCAGAGATTAAAATTTATATGAGAAGTTAGAATTTAAGGTGGGCTATATAAGATCGAGGATACTATTTCTTCTTATCGATAAGTCTCTTTAATATGGGGATCGACTATTTAAAGTTCATTTATACTTATTTTAAATGGGTCGTTATCGCTAGTTATCGATTTTTTATATATATAAATTATTTAGAAATACTTAGTTTAAGTATTAAGCAACTAATAAATTTCTTTTATCTTCTTCACTCTCTTTATCTTCTTTATTCGAAAAAGAAAATTTTTATAAGAAGTTAGAATTTAAAGCGGGTTATATAATATTAGAGATATTAATTCTTCTTATCGAAGAGTCTCTTTAATATAGAAATTAACTATTTAAAGTTTATTTTAAGCTATTATAAGTAAGTCGTTATCGTCGTCTATCGAAATTTATATATAAGATAAGTTTAGAGAAAATTGCGATAAATATAACTAATTAAAGCTTTCTTTCTAGAATAACATTCTTTATATAATCTCTTTTCTAGATATCTTTATACTTCTACTAACTCGTAAACTCCGCTAACTTATTATTATACTTCTTCTTTTACTTCGAAGTTTACTAGTCTTTATCTTTCTCTTACTAATTATTATATTATAATAGAAGATTATAAAATATATAGTAGCAGTTGATCCAATATACCGCGTATTTATATTACGTATTATTATTAAGAATAAATCTTAATTCGATAAGACTAAGTTAGCGTCTCTTAAGTATACTAAAGATATACTTAATATTAATTCGAATACTTAATAACTTCTTATTAAATCGACGATTATTTCTATTCTTCGTTTCTAGCGTCTTATATAATATAATAAGATAGCTAATATTTATATAGGCCATATTACTAAGAAGATACTAGCTCTAAGTAAAATACTTCTATAATCTTCTACTAAGACTTATGAAAATAAAGATATACATATTATATAGAGTATTTAACTAGTCGACTAGAAGGTATATAATCTCTTTACTATTATTATAAATAGTATATAGATCTAGTATATATCTCTTCTTTCTATTCTAAAAGACTTCGTTATTATATTTCTCTCTAGACTTATATTTTAGAATAATATTAATCTTATTTACCTTTTCTACGACTCTAATAAAGCTCTCTTATTTATCATTATATATACTTTTTAAGCGTCTCTTTCTAATATCTAGCCACTAAATAACTATATCTAAATATCTATAGAGGGCGATAATTACGCGTTTAATATAGTTATATATATATTCTTTCGAGATTCTCTATTAACTAGCGACCTTTAAGTAACTATTATTATTTCTCTTATAATTAAGTCTAAATAAAGTTATAAGTAGCTAGTTTTAGATAGGTATCTACAAAGATATATGAGATCTATTTAAGAAGATAATATCTTCCTTAATTAGGCGAAGGATCCTTCGAAAGCTAGATCTATTCATTTAAGTAAAGCTTTAAAACCTCTTATTAGATAAAAAAGGAAGAATAACCAAGCTCCAATCAGACTTTGAGATACTTATTCGTAGTACGCAATATCGTTATTCCTTCATAACCTCCCGAAGAATAAGAAGATCCTCCGTCTCTTAGTTATTCTTAGAAATATAGGCGCTAAGATATACATAAAAGAGGTCTTTTAGCAGCATCTACTTATGGCTAGTTCGAGGTATAGTGGACTGCGAAACAATTGCATGGCTGCGTAGCTAGCAAATGAAGGTATTCATTAAGGCCACTATTCTACGGAGAAGGCTATGCTTACTAAGGCCTCATAGCTACATGAATCTATTGAAAATCAGGTGGGGTCCTCACGCGAATATACAGGGAAAACAGCTAATGCAGTATATACACGGTAGAGTCAAATTGTGGTTGACTCCCTAGTCTGAAACCCCCTAGTATTGGTTCCTTCTGCCCACGTGTGTATCCCCATGTGTAATGAAACACTGTTCTTCTTTCTCTCAGTCTCCGTTCCTCAGTTCCACGCGTTCCATAGGGCAAGAGATCGTTGGTGGAGTAGACCACTCCCAAGCGTAAGTTGAGTACGTAACATGTCGACATGTGTTCAAATCTCTCGGTGGCATCGTCGAAGGATCTTCTTTCTTTCTTGTTGGCGATGATTCTGTCTTGAGCCCTTAACAGCAAGGTCTGCCTCGCCGTTTAATATATTCTTGGACGTCGATCTCCACTTCCAAAGACATGCCTTGACCTTTCAAACGCTTAGTGTTCACCGAGAACATGCCCACACTCTTTTACATCCTCATACTTCTCTCATACTCTCATTCAATTACCACATCTCAATCCCTTTGTTTAGAAGCTCTCACTCCTTGCGTCCTAACCGCATCAGACGGGGGCATCGTGCAAGCATACTGCGAAGAAACCATCACTCCTTGCGTCTTGACAGCCTCGAACGGCGCCATCGTTCAAGCTTACTGCGAGCCGAGTTGGATTAGCCAGCCATTCGCCAGCATCACTGGCATTCCAGCCCTACAGAATACAACCGAGACGACTGCACTTTTCCAAATTCTTGGGACTAATTCACATACAGTGAGTAAAGCGTTATTCGCGTTGAGGTTACAGTATTTTGAGCATTTACAGACATCCTATAATGGAAGGACAAAAACCGCGACATCTCTCTCGGCCGCGAGTACGGAATCTCCCCCTTTACCGAGTCCAAATCCTTCTACTAGTTCTAGTACATCTTTCTCATCTACGAACATTACCATCTCGCCTCTGGCGAGCCCACCACCGACTGCTGCAAGAACTGTAAGTTGTAATTGTTTCTTTCTATCTGTTTTGATTAGAGTCATTTGCTCATTGAATGACAGTCATCGCAGCCCGGTGCACAGGCATCCCCTACCGCCGCCTTCCTCGCAAGTACTGCACTTGCCGCAGGTCCTTACTGCCTAGCCAAGTAAGTTCTCCCCAAGAGTTTTTATCACGAGCAGCATACAAATAACAGTTCTCATTCGTAGCGCGGATCCCGATTACAGCGAAGGAGCCTTCTGCACCTGTTCGGACGGAAACACATACACAGTTCAAACGCAAGGGTCAACGCCCGCTTCGCTATTCAACCCCTGCCCGTACACGTCTGGATCTACACCGCAAACAACGATAGCTCCCAAACTCTCAGACTGTGAATTCGACAGTCCGGTGAATTGCAGCACGACGACCGATCTCAACATCCAATCAATCATCAACCAGGCGAACTCGACCTACGTCCAGGAAGAAATCTCCAACTGCAGTACCTTTACCGCCCGGGCCGGCTACCCGGGAGTCAACGGTGCCGCCAACGGCGACAGCTGCATCGAATACTTCAATATCACCTCGCACATGCTGTGGTGGTGGGGCGAGAACAGCGATCATTGCACCAACGACCTGAACGTCGGCTTCGCCAACTGTTTCTACGACCTGACCTGGGACGGCAACTCGAACTGCTCCGACCTATCCTCGAACTGGTACTGCGCGGAGCCGAACATCACCTACTTCTCCGGGGCGAACCAGACCCTCGACTTCTACGTCGCCTGGAACATTTACAACTACGCCACCTGGTCCTTCGCCTACTACACCGCCATGCAGTACGCGTACAGCTACACGACGGCCATGATCTGGAACGACACACTCGCCTTCGAGCAAATCAAAGGCTCCTTCCCACTCGCAGAGGAGATCCTACTCGGCGTCTTGACGTTCGCCCTCGGCGTCATCAGCCCCAGCGGCTGGGGCAAGACCTTACCCGGAGAAGGAGGGGCCGTCGCCGTGAATAACGCGGTTGAAGAGGGAGCGAACGCAGCTGCAGAATCCGCGCGAATGAGCGCCTGGATTCTGTCCAAGATCTTTACCCCCGAGGTACCTGGCGAGTACCTCCTGCGCGCGGGCCAGCAAACGCCAGGTATTATTCACACGATCCTGGTGCCGGCGGAGTCCGGAACCATCAACGCCGCCATCATGACCTCGGCCGGACTGACGGCGCAGCTGGCGAATTTCGCCCAAGCGCTGTCGCAGATAATTGAAGACGTGGCGGTCGATGTACCGGACAACGTCACCGCCTTCGCCGAGTGGACAGCCGGAGGCTACTATTTCGTCGAGCCGCTCATGACGGAGCAAGACATGGTCAGCTACATCAAATGGGGTCTCAACACGTACGTCCTGTCGCAAATCCTGCAAAACGACAACGTCTTCATCACGCGGCAAGTCGACACGAACCCGTACGACCTCCAACACAACGCGAGCGCCAACACTTTGTCGAAGCCGAGCATCATAGGCTGCGAGTACGGGTACAACGACTGGAACCAATGCGGCGCCTTCTGGTGGGACTCGACGAACAACGTCGCCTACGCGCTCTCCTCCGCGAACGACATCTGGAACAACTACTCCTCCGACCTGACCACCGTTTTCAACAACAACCTCACGACGCCTGAGCTCCTGTTCCTCGGCTCGCAAGCATGCCAGGACGGCTACAACGCCACGGCCGACGCCTCGCCCTTTCAGAATGCCGCCAGCGGGCTCGTGGGCCAGGACACGGCCTGTTTGAGCAACCTGGCCGTTTGCACGTGGAACCTGGCGAATGATACTTGGGAATTTGTGGAGCCATGGTGCAACACAGGTGGCTACTTTCAACCCGACTACGATTTTAATGACTGTGCGGGCGACGGGGTGGATGTGGCGATAGGGTATCTTGGGTGGTATTTGTGGAATGCCGCGACTTGTGAAAGTGAGGAGTAGTAGGAGTTTTTTTGAACAGGATGACACCGTTATATTTTGTGAAAAGGAGGGCGTGAGGATCTCATATGGCTGTCAATGTGCCGCATTGACTGCTTCGGCTTTCGGCTGAAGAGAGGCGATGCTCAGCAGAGATCTTTGTTCAGGTGAATATCTGAAGATCGACAAGAGAGATCTAGGAGCTTGTCTGGCATCGATCTTCAACAGCAATGTACGAGCCATAGTATGAGCGCTGGCACGGCAAGCTGGGCTCAGATTCAGAGGACGTTTCTAAGCCACTGTCGTCTTTAGAAGCAACTTCTATCTAATCAACGAGAAAAGCGTTCCCGCACTTGTTTGTCTGTATCGTGTGCGGTGAGAAGTATATCGATAGTATTGAGCGATGCAGGCAGTGCTCAGTAAACAAATAAATGCCAGCTGCGTTATTGATCTTTTAAGACTCATGGAATTCTTCATTTATTTGTCAACATTTTCCTTCATTCACCTTTATTTCGTAGAAGTATTGAAATCCAGATTTGTGTCAGACTTGGTATCAGGAAGGGCAGATTTTGCATTTGAATCGGAGGCAACTGACAAAGACGTGAGATAGAAGTTTTCATTCTCGGTCAATTGAAGTGATGGGTCCAGCGCATTTCCCTTGTTCGATTCCTGCCGAATGTCGAGGACTTGCGTAAAAGCGAAATGACTTGCCAACTCCCGTGCAGGCTCACGAACACATGTGCAGTGCTGTTATGACATTGAAGGCACCCTGATAACATGATCTCGCCTATTTACTCCGTATTGCATTACCGGCCTGCCAACTCCGAGAGTACGCAGCAGGACCAAAAGGGCACACCGCCAAACCCTTACCGCCGCCAGCGCGGATTTTGTCCTAGACTTACTTTGCCTTTCTTGCAGCTTCACAGTCCTGATGCTGCAGTGTACGAGTACCCGCTGCAGCATTGACAATGTCGGAATCTCCTCTCGAACCTCCAGCCAAGCACACATTACCTTGGAATTGATGACATTGCCCATCGACACCGCTCGCGTGGCTTTGGTGTGAGTCTTAGCGAGACTCGTCTCGAATTCTCCATGTGTGATTGTGGAAAGTCTCGGTCGAGGGGTGGTTGGTGGCCGGAGGACCTTCTCATTCTGTTCTTGCCTCGTACTTTAATAGCGGAAGCCATCCGGGCATGATGCAAAATGAGTTTGGATACAAGGCTCATGGCCAACGTAGCCATGCAATAAGGTATGGTATGGTATGGTATGGTATGGTATGGTAGGGTACTTGGTGACATTGGAGGCGTTGAGATGAGAGCATACCTTAGGGCTGCACGTGATCAAAGATTGATGGTTTAGTTTTGTCGTAGTGTCAGCCTTCGTCCGCCGTACCTATAGCTTATCCCTTAGGCTCTAGCTGTATATAGCCCTAGCGGTAACCTTAATCCCCTCTCATTTAGCGTATTCAAAAACATCTGGAATGCTTGGCGCCGGCGTATATTTTAGGCGAGGGTATAAGAAAAGTATACTTTATAAAGAACACGGAGTTTTCTTTTTAGGTAGAGTTCCCCTAGAGTTGGCATCGAATATCTGAAGAAGGTGCACTCGGAACCAATGCTGCTTTCGATTATCTGAGCTGAAACAAGTCAGTCACACACTAAACACTCGCTCGTTCAGAAATTACTCAGCACTAACTTGTTTGGGCTTTTGCGCCGGCAAGGAGCCAATAATAATGATAAAAATGGAACAGGAACAAGAATTTACTGGGCTTCATGCTCTGCGGATATATTGATGAGTGATTTATCATAGTAACAACCACGCCGTACGTATAAAACAATATAATATAACATGGCTTCGACTCCTCCGCCTCTTCTTCCCTCTCAGCCATCAGGAACCATGTCATCTCTCCTAGGCAGCGGACGTACAACCCGCTGGTTTCTGCTCAGCCTCGCTCTTCTCCTCTCCCTCTGGTTCTGGCGACAATCATTTCAATCCCTCCCGCAAGCGCCACTGCCCTTCATCCCGGCAAAGCTTTACGAACCTGGTGCGGTAGCATGCACCGACAGTGTCGCCGACAAACCTAGGCCTGTCTCATTGTGAGCGAGCTGACCCTCCATTCTTAATCCTCACTGACCTGTATTGTCAGAAACCCAAAGGCGCCACTCTTCCCCGCCTTCGAAGACGCTGTCAAAGGCCTACCGTCCAATATCTATGATCCCTACCCTGAATACAATAGCCGTGCTTGGAGGGAAAATTGGCGGGGGGAGCATGAACCTTGTCTGGGGCCAAGAGGGGTCGATGTGAATGGCAATGCGGATGATACGCTGGTGGTACATCGATTGCAGAGACAAGGTGGGCACTAAATGTGAAGTTGGGTGGATGGATGGCTGACAATGGACACAGCGCCTGCCTCAATGTTTGGCTCCTACAACGCTACTGGACTGGCATCAGATTTCTGCCTGGACCGTCATGCTCGCTACGACCCATATGGATATGATGACACAGATCTCGAAGGCAATGGAGGGAGGCGCAAATCTAATCGCGCCTCCAAGGTGAAATGGGACAACGTGGACTGGGATTACCTACAAGGAGACTGCCTCATGAGGAATCAACATCGCTACGAACCTCTGCCATGGGCAAATCGAACGACCACGTTGTGGATGCCTCGCCAGGAAGACATTGACGACGTCGACAATGTTGTTGTGTTGCCGAATGATGAATCGCAAAAGAGCATGTCATATCGACTGTGGAAGTCGCGTCAGAACTACAAGCAGAGGACTGCCGTAGTCCTTCGCACCTGGGAGAGCAATGAGTGGACGGTTGATACCATGCAATATATACGATCGATGATCATGGAGCTGTCACTACACTCTGGCGCGGAGTACGAGGTGATTATCATGGTCGAGATCAAGGATGGCAGTAAACGGATATTCGACGATCATGCTTCCTATCAGCAAACGTTGAAGAAGGCTGTCCCTGATGAATTCAAGAACATTACCATCCTTTTCAACAGACAATTACTGGAGAAGTGGTATCCGAAAGCTGGACAGCATGAGTCAGTCCCAGTCTCTTTGCCATTGGTTTTGACACTGACCTTACCCTAGGGCCAAAACCTCGCCATCGGGGCATATGGCCCAGCCACTGCAACTTCTCTCCCTCCTGCGACCTGAGATCGAACACTTTTGGCAAATCGACACGGATGTTCGGTATACCGGCCACCACTATCATCACCTGGAGACGATATCCACCTGGGCAAAACAGCAGCCAAGAAAATACCTCTGGGAACGCGCCTCGCGATACTACATCCCCCACGTTCATGGCAATTGGACGAACTTCATGGCGATCGTTGCAAACCAAACTTCTCTAGCGATCAAGCCGCTGGACGAAGGGGAAATTGCAAGGAACGGAGGGGTATGGGGTCCAGAGGAAACCGAAGGGATTGAGCCGGTGGGCCCAATACCACCCACGGAGTCGTCAGACAATGACAACTACGCATGGGGCGTTGGCGAAGACGCTGATCTGATCAATCTCGCACCCGTCTTCGATCCCGAGGGCACTTCTTTCGTGTTAAAAGATAGAGTCGAACACTACCCCGAAGGCAACCACACCCCCAGACGTGCGACAGGCACCACATCGATGATCCGCCTCTCAAAGCGCTTGCTACGAGTCATGCATCACGGCCAGGTGATCTCAGGCTTCTACATGCCCCCGGAGATGTACCCAGAATCCACAGCGTTACACCATGGCTTGAAGCTAGTCGTCTTCCCACTGCCAGTGTACCTCGATTTTGCCAAATCGCCGGCGAACATGAACGCTGCGTTCAATGGTGATGAGGGTAAGACTGTGTTGAACAATCCCCCCATGCACGATGGGACGTGGCACCGGATGACGTATTGGGCGTCTATTGATGAGAAGACGACGTATCCGGACGAATTATATAAGCGATGGTTAGGATATGTGAGTCCTTCCTTGGAACCATCGTTCTTCCAGGCGTCGTGTTGACATCTCACAGGGCAATGATCCGAGCGAGAGATTGTGCCTTCCTGGCATGCTGCTGCATCCAGTGAAGGGAGTCTGAAAAACTACAAGGTCCCTGGAGCCCTGGTATCCATCCATTGAGGTCGTCAGCGCCATGTTGACAAATCGAGCGCGGATATACTGAAATGGGCAAATCTACATGAAACGACAGGACGTAAGTGCACGAAGCCTTGCGGGAAGAGATGGAATGGCACGAGATGCCGCGCCAAGAGATAGCCCGAACGAGAAAGAAGAGGAAGCTTGAATGAGATTCCGTATCACACCCAAGGGGGAGTCGTTGTTCAGGGAGTCGGTGTCCACTCCGGCCCATGTTCTTGGATGAGGCGATGATTCATATCATGGCATAGGTGCCACCAATGAAGTTTGCTCAATACTCGCCGCTGCCTCGCATAGCATAAGCAGAGGAAATTCCGCAAAAGCTACAGAGATTTACATTTTGGAGCGCCGTCGGCTCGAATCACTTTTCTCCAAGGCCAAGACGCGTAATTTGCGACATTGCGCCGTGAACTACCTTATGGCGCATGCTCAATGCAATTAAAATAGTGGAGAAATTTTAATGAGCCACGCCGGACGTTCTGTTTCGTGGCGGATCGAGGCTAGCCATGCAAACATGGTAAACTCAGTGATCAGTGATCGCTATTCATTGATCACATAAAGCGGCGCTAGCGGCCTCGGAATGGATACGAGCTGTGTTGGAATTTTGGACAATCCGAGAATCTCGTGAAGTCTTCCTGAAACGGCAAAGCGTCTCTTCAGCCTCAGATCTGTTACACCGCCCAGCGGCAACACCCACCAATGATACTGCTCTTTTAAGCAGCCTATCTTCTCGTCCACTTTTTGTTCATCCATCTCATTGCTCAACCAAAACCAAAAAAATGACTGGCTGCGGTGCGAAACGTCGCATCAATTTCCGAGATGAGCACCATTGTAAACACAAATTGGGGCTGTGCCCAAAGATGATTTGGGTATATAGCGAGCTCGTGCTG